CTTCTGATACTTTAGAAAACAGAAAACCGAAGTTCCTGAGAGGGAAAGTGAATTGCTTCAAGTCCCAAGACTCTAATGTCAGCATTCCAAATTCCAGGCCAGTTCTTTGCATCTGGTACCGCAACTTCAGCTGGAGACTGAATTCAGGCAAGGGTGGGGTTGTCAGGACCCACACAAGGTCTATCCAACTTTCTTAAGGCCTCTAGGAACCTCTGAGTATTGGAGGTTACATAACACTTGTAGGAAAAACAAATCTGTTTTGAATGGTAGGTATGGAGAAGGAATCATCTTAAGGCACATGACCCTCAGCTGCAAAGATAGAGCTGAAATTCAGCCTGTAGAACCCTCACCATAAATCATGTTTCCCCTCATCACTTCACCTCATTCAAACTCATGCATGTAGCCTCCCCTAGTGGCCCTTTCTGATCCTGAGCTTGGTAACAGGGAGTACTCTTCTGAGACATAAAAGCCAATGGCTGGGGACAGCAGGTGCTGAGGAAGTAAGTCACAGAGCTGATAGAGCGCTGGAAGCGTCTCTAGACTTGGCGAGCAGATAGGAGAGGGAAGCACAGTACTGAGTTTTCCCAGATGTTCTACAATACAATCTCAGCTAAGCATAAGGGCTGCAAGGTGGATCAGCTGGATTTGAGGTCTCACCCCCTCCTTACCAGCTCTAAAATTTTAGGCAAGACAACAAGCCTTTCTGTGCTCCAGTTTCTTACCTATAAATTGGGGCTAATTATGGTTCCTGGGGGCTTATTGTGAGAACTGCATGAATGAATTACTAAGTACTCAGCCAATTCTTGGCACATAGTGGATGCCTGTCAATGTTCATTATTCTCACTCTGCTTTGGCCTCATACAAGTGCAACGAAGGAGTACAAGAAAGTATGCTGTCTACAAAATTCTTCTAGTGCAGGTAAGATATATCATTTGGTGGAGTGTTTTGTTATTAAAAAAGGTCAGGGGATACTGAGAAGGCCCTGAGGTGAGATCAAAGGACCAGAATTGTTCTGCAAATCAAAGTCAGTACAATTTGAATTTCTGCAGAGTTTGTGAGGGGAAGTGGAAAGTGGCGGGGAAATGGGGAGAAGGACATTAAAACAGGAAGGAGAGTGGGTCAGCTCAGGTGGCAGAGGACTGAGCCCCAGGGAGGAGACCTGTCCCTTGAGAAATTCCCAGTAGGTGGAATAGCTGAGGCTTTGCAAGAACAGAGGGGCCTAATATTCAATTCTGTGTCATCTGCTGGCTCACACTGGATGTACTACACTGCCTTACCAGCGTCTCTGCATACCCCAAATCCTTCTGCAGATCTCGCTATTCATAAATGTGGGTTACCATTCAAACTTGCAAAATCAAGGCAAAAGTGGCTGACTTCTCTGATTTGGGCAAATAAGCCACAAAACATGAGTAGATATGAGATTCAAAATTTGGTGGAAGCAGAAAAGTGAGCCAAGAAGTGATGAGGAAAAGGTGGAGCTTTGCTCCCTTTACACCATTCTGCTTGGTTCCATGCCATTTGTGAAATGAGATGGGAACATTTTATCTGTATATGGAAGAACAGAGTGAGTCCTATGCCCAAAGGACATAGGCCCAGCCAGGTATCAGATAAGGGTCACTTTTGCTGTCCCATTTCATCCTTATGGTGGCGTCATGCAAGAGTAATTATTAACTCTGTCTTCTGGGTGAGATAACTAAAATCCAGAAAGAAGGGTGTGGGGAAAGCTTCTCCTCCATGTGCTTTTCTGGCTTACTGCCTGTGAGGTGGCAGTTGGCTGGGGGCTATCCTGGCTAGGAATGGGAAGCTTGTGATAAGACTCAGAAATCCTTTCATTACCAAAAAGGGCTTGATTTTTGGTGGTTCCTCTGTAGTGAAGTGTATCCTGTGATGCTGTTTCTTTAGCATGTGCACATAGCTCTGTATCTCAGGTTCCGAGCCACTGCTGATTTTCTGCTGATGGTGGAAGATTTTCAACAGCCAGTGACAAAGGGCTCCCTAGAAGGTGTCTGGCTTGTGCTCTTTCCTTTTCTAGTGACAAACTGCAGGCTGCCTCTGAAGCTTCCTCCCAAGAGTAGCTGGAAGATGGTTCCCCTCTGCCCGGAATGTCTTGTAATGGCTTTTTCAGAAGGGACAATTTGCTGCTTCTGTGTCTGTTTGTTGGGGAAGGGAAGCTGTGGCTTCAGATTTCCTCAAGATATTTGCTAGGCTTTTTTCTTCTATCTTTACATATTGGGCAAGAGAATTATAGTCTCATAAAGTGTCAAAGCTGGAGAGACTCCTCCAGGGCATTTAGTACATTGCTGTTATATTCCAGATGAAGCTCAGAGAGGAGAAAAGGCTTATTCGTGTGGAGGTCAGTTCTGGACCCAGAAATATTTTTTCTACCTTGCCCTACTACAGTGTCTACAGTTTACTGAGTGAAGGGGAGTGAAGACTTGCACTAAAAACAAGAGAAAGTCAGGGACCATCTCCAGCAGGTCACTGGCATCTCATGGTGGAAGTTCATCATGGGAGGGAGAAAGAGGGAGGAGCCCTGGATTCTCACTTAGCCATTAACTCCTTTTATGACCTTGGGCAAGTCACCTGGCTTCTTTGGGCCTCAAGCTTCTCATCTGCAAAATGGGAAGACTGTTCCTCATGTTGCTGTGGCTTGCTCACAGGGTTGAGGTGAGGATGAACCCAAAGGAGGTGTGGGAGGTCTTTAACAAAAGTTTCATGGTCCCAGTGGGATTATTGAGTTGGTGCAAAAGTGATCGCAGTTTTTGCCTTTGAACATAATGGCAAAAGCTACAATGACTTTTGCACCAACCTAATATTATTAGGATTAAAAAAATCTGGTTACGGAAACATTGAATTGTAAACTGAGGTTGGTTTTTATTACTTTGTGTTCTGGTATTCCCATGCATGATCCAGATAAAAAGAAATCTGATAAGCTATCTAGTCCATGGTTCTTAAAATTCTGTAGTTTATAGACCCAGGAAATTTCTCCCCAGAAGGAAAATTCAGAGACCAATAAGGAGCGGACAGCTTTTTATTTTGCCTACTGCAATCATTAAACAAAACAAAATAACTGGCAAAAAGCAAGCCAGCCTAACTCCTGTGCATATCAACTTCATGTCGTAAAAGAAAGTACATTTTGATACACAAAAATGAAGGACCGTCCCAGAGGAAGAGTGCCTTTTACATTAGACATAATTGGCCCTGTGAAAAAAGGGCTACTGTGTCCTTTTTTGCACTCCACTTTGGACTGATGACAACTTTGTCAATTTTATTATGGGACCAGAATACTAGTTAGAGTCCCCATACTTGGCAACTTTGGAATGAAGTGCTCTTTAGGTGAAGAGACTGAGATCCAGAATGGCCGAGTTCCTGTTACCTAATCAAAACCATCCTCGTCATTGAGACCATGTTCATGATAAAAATCCCTTCTCCCTGTCAAAAAATGAGAAAGTTTTCATCTTCTCTTCCTTGGAAAATCTGGATGGAGGTGAAACACTGGGAGAAGGGAGGGGCAAGTTATATTCACTCAAAGCCTTTCGGTTTTTACAAAGCTCTGTGTGAATGTGCATTACAAGTTTAACTTAAACATCCAACTTGAGAGTCTATAGTGACTCCTCCAATTCATTAGCCAAATCCAGCCCACCAGCTCATTTGAGAAATAATGTTTTATGGGAGCACAGTCCTGGCTACTCGTTTGCATATAGTCAGACTGGCTCAGCACTACAATAGCAGAGATGATTTTGCAACAGAGACATTGTGGCCCCCAAAGCCTAAACGTTTACTGTCTGGCCCTTTGTAGAAAAAGTCTGCCTACCTCTGTATTCTACCATGCTCCTTTTAATATTAATGTGACTGTCTGCATAGACATGATAGAAATTGAGGACACATGCTAAGTAATTTCAGCCAAAATGAGATACTGTTGACAAGGTTGTGATTAATTAGTCTGCCTTGAAAGATCCAGAATCCTTGTCTTTTGGGGGCTTTTGCCCCTACTTTTGAAGTCTCTGGGTGATAAACCACATGAAAGGCATGACCAAGGGAAACTTGAAGGACACTCCAAGTGTGATGCTGTGAGTATGAGGAGCTGTGTCCAGTCATCTGTGTCCTCTGGTCTCAAGGACACTCTTGTGTCCCTATGCTGGTGCCTATGTTAACTCACTTCTTTATTTTTTGCTCTGAGCTGTCTGGTTTTCCAGCTATGGTTCTAAAGGTTACAGGACTGAGATCGGGGCTGGTGTTCTTGGGTGGAAAAGACATTGTATTACAGACAAGGACATCTGGGTTCTAGGCTTGGCTTTGATGACCTTGGACAAGATGCTTCCCTTTACCTTTCTGGGCCTTCCTTTTCTTCCTCTGAGCAATAAAACATTAATCAGAGCATCTGAAAATTTCTCATCATCGATGTTAACCGAACTTGACATATCATCCCTCTGAGGCTAGTAGAGATGGTGTGTTAATTAGTAACTTCAATGATTGGAAATATGGGGAGTGAGGAGGAAGTCTGTTTTCACAAATCCTTGACTTCATTATGCATTTTAGCTTTACTAGTTATTTAATGATTACTATGTGCTGGTTACCATACCAAGCAATTTATAGATGAGATCTGAATGACTTCTCCAATACCTTGATGAGGCGAGTATTATTACTCCCATTTAACAGATGAGGAGTTGAGGCTCCCAGATGGGAAGTCAAGCCCAGATTCTTTCCCACATTTATCTGATTTCAGGTTTCAAGCTTTTAACATTCCTGCGTATGCCAGAGGTGGAATTTTCATTAGTGGGAGTATCAAGTGCTGGTGGGAGACTTGTGGGGACGAGTTCAGGGGCTACTACGGCAAATTCAGATGCATCAGCTCAGTCCTGAGCAGCCCTTGCCTCCACCCCCACCCACTTTCCTGCTGGGCCACATCACAGTGTTTCTGGTTGATAATCAGTGTTCACACTTTATGGCATTCATCTAGATGACTTACTACACATTTACACCTAATTCCAAGATCTTACCTCCCTTGAGGGGGATGTTGTCAGGTGGACTGGGAATGGAGTCCTGGAAGAGAAGGAAGAAGAAAGAAGCATGAAGTGTGACATTCAGTTGAAACAGCTTTTTAAAAAATTTCTTTATCATTTTCTTGTCCTTAAAGTACTGTGCAATTTAGAATTCACCCTCCATCTACCTCTTAAATTTTAAAAATTAATTCACTGATGTAGTTTCCAGTGGGCTTTCTATCCATTCATTTGACAATGTGACTATTAGAAATGCAAGATAAGGATTGCTGTCCTCATTTCACAGACAAGAGACATGGGAAAGAGTAAGATAAAATGACTTGCCCACGGCCACATAGTTATAGAAGATCAGAGTCCAGAGCTGGGACTGTTTTTTTTTTCTTTTTTTGAGACAAAGTCTTACTCTGTCGCCCATGCTGGAGTGCAGTGGTATTATCATGGTTCACTGCAGCTTCAACCTCCTGGGCTCAAGAGATCCTCTCACGTCAGCTTCCTGAGTAGCTGGGAGTACAGATACACACCACTACATTCAACTAATTAAATTTTTTTTTTTTTTTGTAGAGACAGGGTCTCACCATGTTGCCCAGGCTAGTCTTGAATTCCTGGGACCAGCTGATTCTCCTGCCTCATCCTCCTTTACAGGTGTGCGCTATCGTACCTGGCTAGAGCTGGGACTCAACTCCCAATCTTATGCTTTTTGTCCTCCCTCCACATATGTGATTTTTTTCTCCCTTTGGGCAACGTGAGAATAATCAAGTATATTATAGAAGTATATGTGTTTTTTTTTCCATGTTTGATTCATCTGTGAAAGTATGTTGTAAACATACCTGGGAAGGTATATCTCTATCTCTCCTGTGGTTGGAAATTCTGAATTATGTGTTTATATGCCAAGCATTGTGAGAATACCATACATAATTAAATTGGGTCCCCACCCTTGTGGATTTATTACAAGTTTATATTTAAATATACAGATATGTCTACATATGTAGTATAAATACATACAAATGTATATTATATATTTAAACATTTACATTATATTATGTATTATTTATTCTATAATAAACAAATATATACATAAATATTTACACAAATAAGTAAGAGGTTGATAGAATCAGATTGTCTTTTGAAGAAGGGAATCCTGGGCTGAGGACTGAAGAGGATTGAAGGGAGGTTCTAGTTCAAGGGCTCTGAACAAGGAGTTAGCAGAAGCAGAGATGCACAGTTCTTTTCCCCTAATAAATTATTCAGAGATTTTCACACCCTAATTCTCCCTCCCCTTTCTCCCCAGCCATGAAGACACTTGTACAATTTCCCACCCATAAGCAATGAAGTATCTTATTCATCTTTTGATCTGCCAAAGTTGGAATCTCCTATAATCCATTAAAATGAAATATTAATAAAGACCTAGAGAGGTGTAAGCATGTGTATGGGAAAAAACCAACTTCCTAACTTCTACCAAAGCAAGAAATTAGCAGCTGCCCACAGCTTATTTTCTTAGCGTTTTGTGTGAACGCTAAGACCATCTGGAGTTCCCCTATTATTGTCACATTTCCCTAGGAGCTAGGTCCTTTGCCTTCCACTGACAGCTTGTATTTTTGTGAATGGATCTCTTCTCTAGTGCAAGAGGACGGTAGTGAGTCATGGCGGTCTCCTGAAGGCAAAGCCTTGGCATAGCACCAGTCTGGAGATGGGGGAAGTCAGTTTAAACATTTGGGCCCCAGCTTCTCAGGGGAAGGGAGGCAAACCTGTCCTGGAGGGCCCTTCCCTCATTGCTATAATAGTCTATGATTTTGTTGCCTTAGTTGAAAGCTTTTAACCTGAATAACAAAGCTGAAGTTTTGTGGTCTTTCATTTATGCATGCAGTTTGCAGGAAAACCTGACATCACAAAATTCCCCTTTATGTTGCCCTTGTGAGACAACAAACAGCATTTTAAAATTTAACAAACAACTTACTGCCAAGCGTGACCATTGATTAGCATGATGTACAAATGCACTTAGAAAAATATCTGCATAGAAATGTCTTGCAACAGTCATCAAACTCATCAGCTTCCCAGGGACATATACTGGAACAGTGAGAGAAGCTGGAATAGCAAACCTGGTAGGGCCATTATTGCAGAGGCTGCTAGCAGTTCGGGAAGTCCTAGAAAATCATTCATTCAGCACACCCTGGATGAGCACCTGGTCTGTGGGAGGAACTACGTTAGTCATTAAAAGACATCCTATGGATTTTATGATTCAGTCATTAAGGCAGCCATTAAAACAATATAGATAAATGTGTAATTAGAATTGCAGTTGCAAGTTGTGGGAAGAGCTATGCAGTAAAAGAATCAGAATGGTTTAAGGTAGCACTGCTTGAACTTCCATGCACACAGGAATCACCAGGGGATCTTGTCAAAATGCAAATTCTGATTCTGCAGATTTGGGGAGAGTTTGCCTGCCCACCTTCCTCCCTTCCTCTCTTCCTCCCTTCCCTTCCTCCCTTCTTCCCTCCCTCCCTCCCTCCCTGTCTCTCTGTCTCTCTTTAAGATGGAGCCTCACTCTGTCACCCAGGCTGGAGTGCAGTGGCAGGATCTCTGCCTCCTGGGTTCAATCAATTCTCCTGCCTCAGCCTCTCAAGTAGCTGGGACTACAGGTTCCCACCTCCACACTTGACAATTTTTGTATTTTTAGTAGAGACGGGGGTTCCACCATGTTAGCCAGGGTGGTCTCGAACTCCTGACCTCAGGTGATCTGCCCTCCTCAGCCTCCTAAAGTGCTGGGATTACAGGCATGAGCCACTGTGCTGGGCCAACATTCTGTATTTCTGTTGAACTTTCGGGTAATGCTGATATTCCTGGCTCACAGAACACACGTTGAATAGCACAGCTGTAAGAAGTCATATCAGAGAGGAGGACCTAATTTAGATGGGGGTCAAGGAAGGCCTCTCTTCTCTCTGTCACTTGAATACTTCCTTGTTTTCTAATTTCAGGCAGGGGATGTCAAAAGCAAAGCATCTCAAACAGGAAAGAAGCCTGTTGCTTAAACCTTCACCCAGGGCCCAGGGAATCTATGACAGAAGCGTGACTATTCCTATTTTGAAGAACTCTTGGGATGAGGTCTTTATAGCTTCTTCTGGCTACCCAGGGTAGTCAAGATTAGACAATCAAAGCGAGAGGGGAATTGAAACATCTTTCAGTCCATCAAGTTGATTTTATGGAGGGGGAAACCAAGGTACTCATGAGTCAGAGGCAGATCTTGGAATGAAATTCTCTGGTGTACTTTCCACTGCCCCAGGAGAGATGCTGCTTCCAGAAACCAAGGATAGAAGAGCTCATTCCTCCCTCCTCCCCTCTCCTGTAAGCAGTCCTTGCATTTGGAGGTGAAGCAGCAGAGTCTAAAGAGATCACGACTGTTCAAATTCAACAAAGACTGTTCATAAACAGGCATTATACTAAGTGTTGTTCACCAATTACTCTTTGGCAAGATGTCCCCCCAGTCCTAGAATTCTCTCCCTAATCTTGTCTGGGGACCTGGTCCTAGCTTGGGAAATGGGAACTATCTTGCTCGATGATTTGGCTTTGAGTAAGGTAGTGCCTAGGTTGAACGCAGACACAAATGGACCCTCCCAGGTTTTCATTCTTAGCTCCACTGAGTAGCTCAGGAAACTTTGTCTCCATGGTTATCAACCAGTTACACTTCCTTAAATGTACTTTCTCTTTTTTCTGGCCGCTGTAGATGTCTAATGCATATTCCCAACCATAATAAGTTCTCTTCATGTATGGAGGGGGGAATGGTCATGTTCAACCTGTTCGTCCCCAGGTATAAAATGACCCTCATCCCATCATCTTCCCTGCCTAGAATTGTTTTCCTCTCCTTTGATCCGTGATTATTAGATGGCTAATAATCTGTCTTCCCACTGGGTTATTGTGGACATAATAAAATATTATAAAGCGTCAGCAAGTACTTGAAAAGCATAGCTATTTTGAGCACTGCCTTGATGTTACTGATGTGTTTAATTTGCCTCCAAACCTTGAAAGGCTTGTTTCTTTTCCCAGAGCAATGATCAGCAGACGCAGTCAGCTCCTAAATTAGCTTTGGACACAGAGTGCCCTGTTGGTCCAAAAATGATCAAAGGCAACTCTGTTTGGAATATGCCAGAGGGAATTGCACATTCCTTTCCTTGCTTCCCTCACATAATCTTGTAAGGTGGGGTCTGGCTCATGGTCCACAGAGACTTTTGCCAAGAATACCTCTTATTTTCAAGCTAACTGATTATTTCAATTTCAAGCTAATGCATTATTTCATTTGGCCTTTAACTTGACCCTGAGAATTAGGGATCCATCAAGACTTAGAGAAGTGATTTCTTAATGTGATAATGATTACAGAAGGTCCCACAGGTGGCGAATAGCATGGAAGGGATTCAAACTCAGGTGAGTTTGACTTTGAGGGCAATGCTCTTTAATGTCCTCCTGCATTGCCTTTCTAGATGAGGGCAGAATAAAGCTGAGCCACAAAATATCCTGAAATTTCATGGAAAAGTGAATGGAAGTCATAGAAAGTCCTCAGGGGAAGACTATTTTTACTGGGAGCACAAGGTCTGCCTAAGTGAGAATTGGACCACAGTGGCTTAAAGCAGTGCTTCTCCCACTTTAAAAGACTTATCAAAACCTGGGGATTTTGGTAAAAGCAGATTCTGATTCAGTAGGGAGGGTCCCTTAGGTTTTGCATTTTTGATGAGCTTCCAGGTGATGCCAATGTTGCCATGGACATGGACCACCCCTTGAGCAGCAAGGTCTTAAATACACTACTTAGTAGGCAATCAGAACACCTGAGGTCTTGAGCAATGGCTGTAGGAGGCTGAGCATAGATTTGGGCTCAGATATGGGCTTCCTAGTTTGAGGATGGCAGTGGCATCTTGTCCTCTCAGTCTCTTCTATCAAATCTTTTGGTCACCTAGTTCCATTTCTTCTCTTCTGTACAGTCTGGACTGACTTCTGGTCCTGCCACTCCTGTCCTCATACCTGGGCTTGCCTTCCTATGGGTTGTGCTGCTGCTTTCTCTTT